GGCCGCTGCGTGCCCAACCAGGCGGCCCTGGGAGCCATCCGCTTGTGTCTGTGTGAGTGCGTGTGTGTGCGTCTGCATGTATGTGCGTGCATGTATTGGACACCACTGTACGCACGGGTGCTCACCTGTCTCTGCATGGACACATGCACACACTGTCTTGTGGGGACGTCTGGCCTCATGGGGTCGATGTGCCTTCGTGTACCTGTATATCCTTGGGTGGGGGGACACATCCTCTAAGCAGAGGCCGTGGACATATCCTAAGTGACATATGCATAGCTCGGTTGGTGTGCCAGATGAGGAGGACAAGGGTGTACCCTTCTATCCTATTCACACGTATTTCCACAGGCTGCTGAACAAAATGTGCCTTTTGTGTCTGCATGAGCTGAAAAGGGAATCCTAGCACCAGGAGCCGGAATGGGACGTGTGGAATTCTTGAACATTTCTCACTACTCAGAAAAAGCCTGTGGGAATTGGAAACCCCCCTGGGTATTTTCCAGTCCAGCCCTTTGTTTAACAAATGAGGAAACTGAAGCCCCCAAAAGAGGAGAGCTAAGCTTGACCTCACACCCAAGGCGTGTGATATCCTTTCCATAGTTAAGCCTCTCAGCCTTTTGAGGAAGGTGATATGAATCCCCATTCACAGAGAAGAAAAGTGAGGTGGGTGTATCAGAAGGAAAAAAGTGACAGAGAAGGGATTTCAACCCACTATTCCCAACCTCAGAGTTCACAGTCATCCTTCCACACCAGGGGACTTCAATGTGTGACCCTGGGAGCCCACGGATCCTTGAGAACCTTTTGGGGAGTCTTTGAGGCCAGAACAATTTTCCTAATAATGTTAAGACATGATTCACCCTTTTCACTTCCGTTCTCTCATAGCAGCATCCAGAGTTTTTTCAGAGGCTACATTGCGTCTTCCATTAAGTCTGAAATTTAAAAGATTTGTAAAAATGTAAAGCAATGACACGCCCCTCTAATTTTATTGTTTTATAAATTCTATTGTTTTGTAACTATAGAACTATAAAATTATAACTATAATTTTGTAACTATAAAATTATTGCTATTTTAAATAAATGAATGTATCAGTAAATATTAATTAATCAATTTAAAATGTATCAGTAAACATTAATATGGCAAATATTAATAGACCCAACCCATGTAAACAAAAACTCTTTGGGGCCCTCAATACTTTTTTTTTTTTAGTTGGAGTCTCACTCCGTCACCCAGGCTGGAGTGCAGTGGTATGCTCATGGCCATCCCAGTGTTGACCTGCTGGGTTCCGGCGATCCTTCCGCCTTAGCCTTCCAAGTAGCCAGAACTCCAGGCATGTGTCACCATGCCCGGTTCATTTTTCTATTTATTGTAGAGACGAGGTCTCACCAAGTTCCCCAGGCTGGTCTCGAACCCACAGGCTCAGGCAATCCACTCACCTCGGCCTCCCAAAATGCTGGGATTACAGGCTGAGCCACTGAACCTGGTCCACTCAATACTTTTTAAGAGACAAAAAGTTTGAGAATTGCTGCTTTACACTATGTTACCTCCAAGGGGAGTGAGGTGACTATCCCAAGAGCTCATAAGCACAGAGCAAGGGGGCGCCTGGCAGTCAGGTCAAGAATGGGCTCCCAGTCTTGTGGTCTCTCTGAATCAATTCAGGGAACCGAGACTCCTGGGGTGAAGAGACTTTCCCAGCTGGTCCCAGCCTCTGCCAGCAGGGGATTCTCTGGTCTAAGTCCGTGTTCTTCCAGCCAGGGATGCCCCTGCTCTCTAATATCCTCTTGCTACTGTCCCTCCAGCTGCCCTGCCACCCTCCCCATGCCAGCTTGGGGGGAGGGGAAGTAGTGGGTAGGGGGAGGGTGACTAGGGCAGCTGGGCAACCGTCCCCACCCGTCCCTGGCACAGCTCTGCCCAGCACACAAAGGGCAGAGTGAATCTTGTCCCATCCTGGCAGCTGAGGGGCTGGGAGGAGGAAAAGGGAGGCCCACACAGAAGGGGGGCTGGCTGCTATGGGGCTCTCCATCCCCCATGGCTCTCAGAGGGGTTAACCCAGAGACAGAAAAGGGGAGTCTGAGTCATATTCTTAGCTAGTTGAGAGATGCCCTGGGGGGATGAAATAGATGATGACAATGATGACGGCTAGATTTTACAGCTATGGTGTCATTAGGTCCTCACAATAGTGTGGCAAGCTGGACAGCCAGGACTAGTCCCATTTCACAGGTGAACAAACTAGTGACTAGCAGAGCAGACTGGCTTACTCTGGGTCCCAGGGCTGGCCAGTGGAAGCACTGAGACCTCAACATCCCAAAGGAATGGACCATCAACCAGTTGACAGGAGCCCCCTCATGTTGGTGATGGAGTCTCATCATTGAATAAAATTACAAGTTGGCTGTGTGTGTTTCTTGCTTGGTGTCAGGTTCAAAGAAGCCTGGGGAAAATATGCTCTTTTCCTTCCCAGGGCCCAAAGCCTGGCTGGGAAGATAGGGCAACACAACACACCCACGTAGCTGAAGAGAACATCTGTGTGTGCCGAACTGCAGGGGAAGATGAGAATTTTAGAGGCAGGAGGGCACCGTGGGCTGGGTGAGGTCACAGAGCAGGTGCCATTGGCTCGTGGCCTGTTCAGGTGGGTGGTATTCAGAGAGGAGAAGAAGGGTTGGGGGTGGGCTTCCCAGGAGGGCAAAACAGCTTACATAAAGAAGTCAGAAGGCTGCAGTGAGGGCTGGTAGGGGGGTGGGGTGGGGAGGAAAGCTGGGCATGCCCAGTTAAAGGTCCCTCCCTCCTTCTTTCTTCAAGGAGCCCAAGACCTCACCAGGTTGGTGTGAGCATCTGAACTTCACTTATGAAACTTGAGAACACCCTTCCCCAGTCCCCAAACAGGCAAAATTAAGTTTTATTTTATTTTAAATAAGCCATAGCCCAGGCGCGATGGCTCACGCCTGCAATCCCAGTACTCTGGAAGGCTGAGGCAGGCAGATTACTTGAGCCTAGGAATTTAAGACCAGCCTGGGCAACATGTGAAACCTCATCTCTACAAAAATAAAAAATAATTAGCTGGGCATGGTGGTGTGCACCTGTAGTTCCAGCTACTCAGAATGCTGACGTGGAAAGATAGCCTGAGACCAGAAGGTCAAGGCTGTGGTAGCCATGAGTGTGCCACTGCACTTCATCCTGGACAACAGAGTGAGACTCTGATTTTAAAAAGAGAGAGAGAGAGAGAGAGAAAATTAGCCAGGTGTGGTGGCACATGCCTGTAATCCCAGCACTTTGGGAGGTGGAGGTAAGAGGATTGTCTGAGCCCAGGGGTTTGAGACCAGCCTGGGCAACTTGGCAAGACCTTGTCTCTACAATAAATTTAAAAATATTAGCCAGGTGTGGTGACATGAGGCTGTGGATCCAGCTACTTGGAAGGCTGAGGTGGAAGGATCACCTGAGCCCAGCAGGTCAAGGCTGTGGTGGCCGTAAGTGTGCCACTGCACTCCAGTCTGGGTGACAGAGTGAGACTCTGACTCAACAACAACAAATTAGCCAGTGTGATGGCACAAGTCTGTAGAACCAACTACTCAGGAAGCTGAGGAGGGAAGACTGCTTAAGCCCAGGAGTTCAAGGCTATGGTGAGCCATGATTGTGCGGCTGCACTCCAGCCTGGGTGACAGAGTGAGACCTGGACTCAAAAAGTAAAGGAAGCCATAAAGCTTGTAAGAGCTATATCTTTTTTTTTTTCTTGAGTTGGAGTTTCATTCCATTGCACAGGCTGGAGTGCAGTGGCACGCACGCTCATGACCACCCCAGCGTTGACCTGCTGGGCTCCGGCGATCCTTCTGCCTCAGCCTTCCAAGTAGCTGGAACTACAGGCGTGTGCTACCATGCTCGGCTAATTTTTTATTTATTGTAGAGACAAGATCTCGCCAAGTTGCCTGGGATGGTCTCAACTCCGCGGGCTCAGGAAATCCACTCGCTTCGGCCTCCCAAAGTGCTGGGATTACAGGCTGAACCACCGAGCCTGGCCAGAGCTATATCTTAAAGGCAGCTGAAAGGGGAGACTGGGGACCCCAGAGAGCAGAGATTTCTTTCAAAGAAAAAGACCTTCCTCCAGTACCCAGTGATGAGCAAGCCCCACCCTCAGCACCTGCTCAGAACAAGCCCCATGATAGGACAATGCGGCCCCCCGAAATGCCCACAGGGACCCCGAAATGCCTGCAGTTCTTGGCTCTCTTGCTGGCCTGCTGCCCACCTGGCTCACGCCCAGTACGTGTGAGTCAGCCGATCAATCCCAGTGTTGCCAGGACGACGGGGGGCGGGAGTGGAGACCCTGGGGGGTGGACAGGGTGGGCACCCCAGGTGGGCTTTCTCCTATATCTGGCACCTGCACACAGCTGAGGCTGAGCTGAGAGGACCTCTGGTCCCCCTCCTCCCGCTACCCTCCTCCCTCTGCCCCTCCTCCCACTTCCCCTCCTTTGCTTCCACTGTCCTGGGACATTCTCTGACTGCTAGAGGCTTGGGCAAATATTTAAAGGGGCAGTTGGAGGGTGAGGAAGGTGGTGGGAGTAAACACTTCCTTCCCTCTCTCCTTCTCTGTGCTTCTCAGGGGCCTGAGGGTTCCTGAGAAGCCATGCTGTTTTGCAACCCTGGGGCTGAAGACCCTCCAGCTGGAGAGGGAGAGGGGAGGGAGACTGCCAGAGCTGAAGTGTGGGGAAGCAGCTTATGATAGAAAGGCACGGTCCAGGTAGGAGGGGGTCAGGACCAGGGGCAGGAATTAGGGTGGTGTGTTAGAGTTAAAGGATAGGAAGTGAAGGGAGCCAGACCCAGAGAGGGAGGTGTGGGCACTGACACAGTCACCAGAGTTCAGAGGTGAAGGAACTTTGGAGGTCACCAGCACAACAAGCAAAGGGGAGCCAGAGGGAAAGGGCAAGCCAGCCCAAAGTCATTGGCAGACTTGACTTTGCACAACACACAACAGAGATGGCTTTGGGAAAAGCAGTAGGAATGGGGGAGGTGGTAGATGGTCCAGAAAACGGATCACATTGGGGTGAGTAGCGTTTTCGAAGCTGATTTAGCATCAGAGCCTATAAAAAGGGGAGTACAGAAGGGTGGGGCGATAGGCCACAGGACAAGTGGGCTGCTTCGAGGACAGGAGATTGGGAGCCTGCCAGGGACTACCCCCAGCTGTGTCCCAGCACCAGCAAGCGGTGTCAGGCATGGAGTCTGCCATCGGAAGCCTTCAGCTTACAGACAAGCCCATAGCAAAGAAGGAAATCCCCGCACATGTGTAAGGGTTTGCCACCAGTGGGGACAGAGTTTTCAGAATTAGGAAAGAAATGACTGGGAGCAAGTCTGAGGTTGGCACCAGGTGTGTGGGAGGAGGCAAGGTAAGGTAGAGAATGCTTGAGGTGGAAATCTGGCCCTCCCAGAGAAATGCACATGTATGAGCCCTCCAGGTGATGTCAAAACACCTCCTGCCTCTAGAGAGCACCCTCTGGGTCTAAAGGCGCTGCCTCTTCAACCCGCTTCCTGGCGTTCATCCCTGTGATGGAGAAACTGTTGGGAAATGTGATGGTCAGACCCTTGGCTGCCTGAGAGGTTTGGGCTGGCAGAAGAACAAGGAAAGCCACAGGGCTGCAGGGGCAGGTGCCAGCCAGCAAGGAAGGCAGGCAAGCCAGGAAGACACCCACGGTGAGAGGTGCAGATGGCCCAAGGGCAAGTGTGCTTAGCTCACCCAGCTTCTCTCCTTATGGGGCCAAGAGGACTCATGTGCCACAGCCAAGGGCCCTTGGGGGCTCTTGAAGCTGGCTTATCAGGGCTTGGGTTCTGGAGGGCCAGGAACAAACAGGCTTCAAAGCCAAGGGCTTGGCTGGCAGACAGAGGCCCAGTCCTTCACCTCTGTCTCCTCTCCCTGCTGACACATATAAGACTCTGTCCCCTCTCCCTGCTGACACATATAAGACACTGGTCACACACCTGGGAGACGAGGAGGGAGGGTGCCTGCGGCAAGATGGACGTGGGAAGCAAAGAGGTCTTGATGGAGAGTCCACCGGTGAGTGTGTGTGAGTGTGTGTGTGTGTGTGTGTGTGGCAGGCCTGTTTCTCCATCCTCCTTAGGCCTGTTTCCTCATCCAGTTTCATTTACTCAACTAACCTAGGACTGTGCTAAGTTAGGATGGGACACCAAGACCACTAAGACAGGGTCCCTTGGAGAACAACTATATATAAGAGGCTAAGAGTCACCATAGGGGTCCATGGAAAGGGATGTAGAGGGCAAGGAGCCACTAAATACTTGGGAGGTACAGGAAGCTTCACAGAGAAAACGACATGTGAGCTGGAGCCAGAAGAATAAGAGGAGTTCATTAGACGTAGAAGTAGGAAGGCATTCCAGGAAGGCGGGTAGTTTGTATAAAGACATGGAGCGAAGCCGGGCTCGGTGGCTCAGCCTGTCATCCCAGCACTTTGGGAGGCCGAGGCGAGTGGATTGCCCGAGCCAGAGGGTTCGAGACCAGCCAGGGCAACTTGGTGAGACCTCATCTCTATAATAAATAAAATATTAGCCGGGCATGGTAGCACGCACCTGTAGTTCTGGCTACTTGAAAGGCTGAGGCAGAAGGATTGCCGGAGACCAGCAGGTCAATGCTGGGGTGGCCATGAGTGTGCCACTGCACTCCGTCCCAGAGGTCTAGGGGAAACAGCAGGAGATGAGACAGGTGAAGCAGGTTCTCTTGGGTCCCTTTAAACTAGACCTTGCTTCCAAGTATCTGGGTTTGTGGAATCCAGGCCACCTCCTCCAAGAAGCCTTTTCTGATCTCCTCAGGCCTCCCTTGCACATCCATTGCATTGGCTGTCCAGCCCTAGTAGGGAGTAGAAGGGTGTCCAGTATGTTCAGGGAGAGGAGGGGCTAGCCTCATGACCTCATGCCTGTCTCCCTGCTTGCTTCGCCATGTCAGGACTACTCTGCGGCACCCCGGGCCCGGTTTGGCATCCCCTGCTGTCCGGTGCACCTCAAACGCCTTCTCATCGTGGTCGTGGTGGTGGTCCTTGTCGTTGTGGTGATTGTAGGGGCCCTGCTTATGGGTCTCCACATGAGCCAGAAACATACTGAGATGGTAAGCAGGCAGCATGGGACGGGCTGGGCAGTGGGTACAGGACATGTCAGACAAAGGAGCTGGGTGGGATGGGCAGAGACTGTCCAAAGGGAGTGAAGGGGAGGAGGCAAGGCCACAGCTGGAAGGACAGAGGCAGGAACGGGGTGGCCACTTGGCCTGGGCTTTCCCACCGGGCCCCTGCCCCACAGTGAGACAGCTGGTTCCCGCCAGCACCCAGTTCCACTCAGCCTTCCAGAAACCTCAGAAAAGATGCAACTGCCTTGGAGTAAAAAGAACCGAGGGTGGGCATGGGTACCAAAGACTGAGTGGGAAAAGAGGACAGCTAGGCAGTTCAATGACCCTCCCCAGGTCCTGGAGATGAGCATTGGGGCACCAGAAGCCCAGCAACGCCTGGCCCTGAGTGAGCATGCGGGCACCACTGCCACCTTCTCCATCAGCTCCACTGGTCTTGTAGTGTACGACTACCAGCGGGTAGGTATGCCCAGACTTCCTGACCGGGGGCTGGGAGGACCAATGACAAGACTCCACTAGAGACACCCGGCGGGGCCACTTGATACACACCCATCTCTCCCCCTGCCCCTGGCCTTTAGCTTCCCTTGGGGTGCCTGAACCCCAGATTCTAATCTGACTCCTGTGCCCAACCTAGAGGAAGCTAAGGACCTGGGTTAGGGAGTGAGCAAGGCAGGGACTCCAGAATGATCCCTAGCCTTCCGTGCCCAGCTCCTGATCGCCTACAAGCCAGCCCCTGGAACCTGCTGCTACATCATGAAGATGGCTCCAGAGAGTATCCCCAGTCTGGAGGCTCTAACTAGAAAATTCCAGAACTTCCAGGTGGGTGTGTGGGTGAAAGGAGTGGGCTGTCTGTCTCCAAGGCTGCTGGGAGGAATGTCTGAGATGATGGCTATCTGTCGCCTGTAAAGCACTGCTCCTCGTGGGCTGCCAGCTGACGGCCCCTCTTTATACCCCCCTGCACGACTCCCTCCCTCCCCGCTCCCCAGCCCCACGCCCCTGCCAAGCTGCTGGCCTCAGCTGAGCCCACACACCACCTGGGGGCTTCTGACTCCAGCACAGCCCCCTCCTTCCTGGTGAGGAAACGCATGCTGAAAGATTGCCCGACATGCCTCAGATCCCACAATAAGGGCTGCAGGTGAGATGGAATCTCCGTTCCCAGACTCCAAACGAGGTACTCTTTGCAGGCCAAGCCTGCGGTGCCCACCTCTAAGCTGGGCCAGGAGGAGGGGCGCGATGCCGGCCCAGCATCCTCCGGAGGAGACCCGGCCTTCCTGGGCATGGCAGTGAGCACCCTGTGTGGCGAGGTGCCTCTCTACTACATCTAGGACTCCTCAGGTGAGCAGGTGCGGCCACCAGGGCACCTGAGCAGTAGCAGAGGAGGGCTCGGGTCACCTGCTGTGTCAGCTGGCCAGGCCCCGGGACATCCACTGAAGTCAGGTCATCCAGGATGCTCAGGGAAGAGAAGGCTCACAGACACCCCCGACCCCCAGACCCCCTCCCACACCAAATAACCCAGGCTCCTTTGCTTCACAGGGTCTGCGGGAGCCCCAAGGGACGGGAAACGTCCCCCAGCGAAGGGCCTTCTGCAGACGGGCAGGAAGCTGCTGCGGCCCACACCACAGGGAAGGACCCTGGAGAAATGGGAACTTGGGGAGAGGGCGGGAGCGGGCAGAGGTGGCTCCTGCGGCTCCGGGGACTCGTGCCACAAAAGATTAAAGCAGCCTGATGAAAAAACAAGGGGTCCTGCTTCCCTCTTCGGACACCGCGTCGTCCCGCTCTTAGTGGGGGCCGGACTGGGAAAGGGCAGGGACTTGGGACAGCCAACGGGGCTTTCCCCTTTTCCCTCTGTCTCAGAGCGCTGGGGGATTGGGCCCCCCGGCGGGGGGAGAAGGGACGGCGGGGAGCCATCCACGGGCTTCCGGCGCCCCCTAGTGGTGTCGCCGGAGGAGGGCCAGAGACAGAGAGCGCGAGAGACA